ATATATATATATATATATATATATATATATATATATATATATATATATATATATATATATATATATATATATATATATATATATATATATATATATATATATATATATATATACTGATGGGTGTATTCCACCCAGTACTGGTTCAAGGGAAGGCCCACAAATGTTTGACCGGTCAAACGACGAATTTTCGAAATAGGAAACCTAAACGGCAAAGGTTTATATTGGTCGGTGACAGAAAGTTGACCGGTACACTTTGATTACTCTACCGGTCAAACTATGTGACTTGTCCTGATCACCCCCGCGTAAACCTAACCGGTATGGTTTCCAGGGCTAGAAGTGTCGGCATGAAAGAATCCAAGGGAGGTTAGACTGTAGAGCCGAATTCAACGAGGGATCACTGAAGATATTCACACAATCAGTCCAACACGCTACGCGACAAGAGAGTCACCATAGTAGCTTGATGACAAGGGAGTAAAGGGATGAAACAAGCCACTAAAAGAAGAAGGCAATCACCTCCCGCCACCCAGATTCGTGGCCTGACGTGGGTGCGGCGCCTTGTCTCCCTTAGCTTGCTATAAATACTTGTGTAACCCTCAGATGAAGGTATCCAAATTCTTCTCTCTAAACTTTTGTGTAATAGTTCCCTTGCATTCTACTATATTTTAATAACAATTAGGTTATCTAGAGGTGTTTCCACCTACAGTTCTCCCGATTAGCCTTTGTGTTTATTACTTTTTACACTCTCGAATCCGGTAAACAATCTTAGACCCCTAGAATTGTTTATCCGGTGGTTAATTTACACCATCACACACACACACAGAAAAGCAATAAAGTGAGATAAATGATGGATAGATTTAAAAATTTGTATGTAATATTATTATTCTTAAAATTAATAAAGTTTATTTTAATTTTTTAAATAATACATAACCAAGCATCATGGGGTATATTTATTGTGGGATGCATTTAGTGTTCTAACCGGTGTGACTATCGTCATCATTTCTTTAATCGGCTAATAACCATTTTTTCCTTGGGCCTCCTTCGAGTTGGGCTCTAAAACCCTCCTTCCAGTAGGCTTAATTGTCCATCTTGATTCATTCATCAAAATCGATCTGGACCGGCTCGATAGATATTAGATATTTTTGTAATTCTTCCAATGTCCCCAACAATTTAATTTAGTTACGATTTTGATCTTCGGATAAACTTGTCATGGTCTATTAAATAAAATAAGGTATTCTTATCACCACTAATTTTATAAATTTTTTTACGGTGTTTTTAAATATATAATTTGCACTTTTCATTTTCTTACCAATTTATAAAATCAAAAAATTTAAACGATGCGGTATTTCGTACATTATTCGAAACAGATAATTTTTTTGGGAACGAAGAAAATATTAAAGAGGAGATACAAGAAATTTATGCCGTATTAATCAAACAAATTATAATGTCTAGATATGTATTGCCAAAGATTTAGTCCACTCACTCCAGATCAAAACTATTTAAGATTTAAATTGAATTGAATCAAATCAAATCTCAAATACCACATATCAAATGCAAAGTACTTCTAAAACAAAGGGCGACTCTAAAACTATTTGGTTGGGGTTTGGTTTGAACTCATTCCGACTCGCTCTAGACCACAACCATTCGATATCTAAACCAAATCGAATCCCAAATATCAAATTTTATGTACTTCTAAATTGAAATGCGACTCTAAAATGATTTGGCCCGAGTTCAGTCTAAACTCATTGCAACTGGTCATGTTAGGATGTTACGGAGTAAGGATGGCAACTGGTCATGTTAGAGTGGATAGTACTATACACGAAATCGACCTGAATTTTAAACCCGAACCTAATTTTTAAACTCGAAACTTGAATCAACCCGAACTTGAATTTTAAACCCAAACCTGCAATATCACCAATTACCCTTTTTAAACTAGACTTTACACTAAACATTCGACTCAACCCGACTAGATTATTGACACATTATATTACTATATTTGCGCATAAAAAAATGAAAGAAAATATCATATTATGCACTATATTCTTAAGAAATAAGTTATACAAAAGGTCATGATTAACAAGATAAATGAGGTAAAGAAATAATCGGTAAGAGAGTGGCGAGATAAGGGTGAGAGAGAGGGAGGGAGAGAGAGATGCACTTGAGTGTGGAAAAGAAGAAGTAGAGAAATAAGAAAATATATTACTACCTCCGTTCTTAAATAATTTACACACTTTACTATTCAAAATTTGCGAAAATTTTTATTTATTTGTGTATTTTTATTGATATTTTAGATCGATATTCGGGTTGAATCCCCGTCTTTATTAGAGCATCAACATGCACATGCTTGGAGGGGTGCCTCGTTACCACATCACCATGGAAAGATGTTGCCATGCGTGGATATATAGAGCATTCTTCTCCTATTTGTGAGTCATGACCTGGTAATATGTTTCAATTTTATTTTTTATGTTTTTTTCTATTTTTTGAAGGAAAAACATATCGATGTTTTTTGAGTAAGTAGTATATTTTTGTGATAAAATAAATGAGTAAAATAATTTTTAATAATTATAACATGTCAAGAAGATGTAAAAAGATAAAAAAGTAATGATTTATTACTGTAGAGTTTGTCACTCTATTCATTTGGGAGTCATTGACTGAATTGTTTTGCACCGTAATGCTAATTATTATTCCAATTTATCTTCCCCTAGTGCTTATCCCATCTCATCTTTTTTTTTGTTAGGGAGTATTCCGTAGTCCGTAATCCGTATTATTCCTTGGAGAGTCATTCCGTACAAATAATTTATTCTGTTTGCTCACAGTTCACGAGATAGGTACGTACCCCACCCCAGGCCCAGGTTCAGATTATCCAGATTCCCCGGAATTCATGGCCGACAAGCCTGGCATGGCTCCAGCCGCCGACGTTTACGCTCCGGCGACTCCACAACTATGGGTCGCGCTGCTGAACTGGCTAGGTTTTCTCTTCCAGATCTTCGCGCAGATCGCCAGAGGCACGCCGTCGCTGACTCAGGTTCGCTCCTTCCTCCGGTTCCGTACCAATTCCTTCATCTCCTCTCCGCCTCCGGAGTTCAGGCCTCTACCGACTGGCGACCTTTCGGACTTTCCGGAGCCCGAGGCGGCGCTGCCTCCTCTGCCGGTTACCGTTCAGCCCCTGACAATCCCCGCTTGTTGCGGCGAGGAACTTCCTCCGCCGAGGCTCAAGGTAAGGTGCCGGGTCTCCTGCTACAATATACTGCCTTTTTTTTGTTTGTTTCTTAATTGAAAGTTCCGTATGCTACTAGGGATTTGGCTAATATAATATAACTATCCCTGTTTCAATTTCCAGTTTGATTGGGTCAGTAGCTTTAAACTCAAATAATCAGTTCTCATTTCATAAAAACCCTAAATTGTAGTGTATCAGCATAGTATATGACTAGTAGATTTTATATTTAGTATAATGAGCTAATTGTAGTAGAATCTCACAAATAAATATGTGGAGGGTGTGTTTAGGCAGACCTTATCCCTACTTAAGAGGTAAAAAGACCGTTTCCTAAAGGCCCCTGCTCATTTTTTACAAATTACAAATACACGGAGCGACAAACATAAACGATAGAGGAGAGAAAAGAAAAGTTACCAACATAGATCACAAATAGAGAGGGCACAAAGCAAGCATCCAACATAACCCCGAGAAACCTAAACACCTAGCTAACCAGTTCTATGACTTCTATTAGGCTCTACTTTATAACTCTAATCTTCGACCTCCAGAAATCTACAACCATGTCCTCAGTGAGCTGTATAAATCTCAAGTCATCATTAATATCTAAGTACCTCAAGTACCTCACTGACTCACTCTACCTCTTCTTAGCTCTAGCTCTATTCATCAAATTCCCTAAAACCAACATTTTGCATCTCCTCACAGGAGCATCAATACTTCTCCTTTGAGCAATTTTTTGCACTAGATCTAATTTTGGAAACCATTTATTGCATTAAATAGTTTGCTTAGACAATGTAAGGAATCTATTTTTCTAGCATAAGAATTATTTGATGTGTGTGATGATAAAAGATCTACGGTAGTAAGAAAAATTCTACACTCTTTAATTATGGACACATGGATGCAATTAAGCGTTTCTCTTAAATGGTAATAAATTATGAATGCTATTTTGTTAAGGATATGAATTTAGAAGGTATGATTGTCTGAAGATGTCATTGTTCACTTCATTTATTATTGATTTTCGATTTTAGACATTCATTGCTCATAGAGAGTAGATGCTGTGCCACTGCTTCTGTGTTTCCTATTTCTCACAAGTATCAGTTTCTTCATATGAAAAAGCTTGTATTGAAATAAACCTGGCACTTTGACAATCTTGCAGGAAATGATAATGAATGATTGTGTGTGTGTGTGTGAGAGTTCCAGCTACTCCTTTTCAGTTTTCTAGTGTCATGCTCATTAAGTAAAAGGTTAATAATGTCTCATTTGGTAAATTAAGGTGACCTGGGACAAAGTTCCTGCTGCTTGCGTGTTAGAGTAATGTCACTGGACATCCTTCACTGATAAATCTATTTTTGAAGGAGACGTTCAATTGTTCATATTTTTGAGGTTGATTTATTTCTCAGTGCATTTATAATTTGCTTCACTTCCTGTTTAGCAAGTTTTTTTTCAATTCAATTTTTGGATACAAATATTCTAAACGCATGGACATGCACGTAAATGTTTTTTGGAACCGTGTTCTTCAGTATGCTTAAAGAGGTTCCTGTATACATTGATGGTTACCTTTATAAATTTTTTTTTTTTTTTTGATAAAATCATACATTCTCCTATAATTTTGTCTCAACTTATCAAGTGATGGCAGGTGGTTCTTGACTTGGATGAAACTTTAGTTTGTGCATATGACAAATCAACTTTGCCTTCTATAATAAAAACTGAGGCTACCAAGGCTGGGTTGAAGTGGTTTGAACTTGAGTGCATATCTTCAGACAAGGTACAACTCAGTGTCTAGTACTCTAGTGTCTACAACACTTCAATGCCTAATAGACCTTTACTCTAAAAGGACTTCTTTCTTTCTGTTTTCTTTTAATATTACTTTTTGGGTTAAAGGAATGTGATGGGACACCGAAGATCAGCCATGTCACGGTGTTTGAACGTCCTGGATTACATGAATTTCTGAAACAACTTAGCACATTTGCTGACCTTGTGTTATTTACTGCTGGACTCGAAGGTTTGATCATTCAATCATTATTTAATATGGAGTGCTTAATTTTCAAGGAACTAAGTTACTGATGTTTGACGTTCATTCCCATTTATGTTAAGTTATTGATGTTTGGCGTTCATTCTTATTTGTGTTATTTTCATCATGTAGGCTACGCAAGGCCACTTGTTGACAAAATAGATCTTGAAAATCGATTTATTCTCAGACTTTACCGTCCTTCAACAATTAGCACGTATGTCTCACTTCTCTTTCTCCACACTGTATTCTCCAGGTTTTTGTTTGATCAGTTCATCGATTTCATACAATATCTTCTAGACTGCACCCAGTTAACCTCTCATGTTGCACTCTTTTGTGTTATCATGAAGCTCGCACTTACCAAATTTACTTCCGTTTTTGGCATATAGCCATATAATGTGAAGTGTAAACAAACATAATCAGACTGAAATGACAAAATGTGAAACAATGATATATAAGGGCATCTGCATCCATTAGACTATCAGAGGATGATGTGGGTGAGGTGGGTTTTTAGGACTGGTCTTTCATGGACGGGTGGATGAGATTATTCTTTATAATAATCCGATAGCAAATTTTGAATCTGCATTTTTTGAGAAACAGGGTGATGGATGACTAAAGGAACCCATAAAAGATCAAATTATATGAAGATGATAATATGTTGGTTGAGTGGGATATAGTGACTCCTGAGAATATTTAAAATCTTTGATGTATCATTGTGGGACCACAGAGAATCATATTACTCTGGGGGTTGTGAAAGTAGATTTCTAGATCCATATAGAGTTTTATGTTGTTGGGCTATGGTTTGCACCATTGGGGCAATTGGACATGGTGTGTGCAGAGGACTGAGAACTTCTCAGTGTAGAAAAATAGGCAGGGCAGTGACCTAAAGCGTTGCATTTACCCCTGTTTGTGCATGTGTTTTATATAAGAGGCTCAATGATCATTTTGTAGCTATACTCCCTCTGTCCCTATAATTTTTTGTTTGAGAAAGGTACAAGTTAACTTTTTTAGTCAACGTAACGTAATCAAGGTGCAAGTTCTTACAAGCTATAAAACCTCACTTTATCCCTACTTTTTTCAAATGTCCTGAACTCGTTCGGTCAAGAGTATTGCTTGAGCTACATTAAACTGTTTTTTCCAAAATTGTTTGGTGTAATTGACCAAAACTGCATGCAAGAATTTTATTAAAGAGTTTTGAAACTAGATTCTTTTCTTTGGACAAAGAGTTTTTGAAAGAAGACTTTTTCGAGAGAATAATTTCAATGGCTTCTGGCTATTCTTCACTTGCAAGTTGCATGATTCCATGATATAAAGCACACATGGTGGAAGTAACCATTCATTACATGATTCCATGATATAAAACTATAAAAGCACACATGGTGAAAGTAACCACTCATTTAATGATTCCATGAATAGTACTTTTGAGCTTTGAGTGATGTAGAAACTCACTTTCTGTGATTCCATGTGTGATAAGAATATATGCATTGTAAACATTTCAGTGGTCATGTGTTTCTGAAGGTCATTCTTTGAAGCTCAATTGGTAAGAATATAAAGTGTACACATATAAATTAGGTAGCAGTTTTGCATCTTATTTTTAGAATTGTGTTGATTCTATGTATGAGAGATATTCTACCCTATCAAGCACAGAAACGTGTAATTATGTACACATACAGTCCGAGAAACAACATTTTTATGGAGTTCATAATAATAATCATAATAATTATAGTAATTTTTAATAATAATAATAATAATAATAATAATAATAATAATAATAATAATGGATAAAGAGTAGTGTCCATGTAATTTTTAATACTCCATCCCATAATTAACTTCTTGTTTTGACTTTTTTTTTTTGTTGAAATTTACCAAATTTGACCATACTTTAAATTCAAAATACATTGGTTTATAATATGAAATTAATATCTTTATATTTTTGAGATGTAATTTTAGAATATCTTACATTTATAATATTTATTTATTTATTTTATATTTTGTTATAATTATATACATCAATAGTCGAAGTGTTGCATATTGAAGACAAGTCAAACTAGGAACTTAATTTGGGGATAAAGGTAGTAGGTGGTATAAGAGATGCGTAGACTCAAAACAGAAGAGATAGATCCAGGATTTTGTATTTAACTTCATAACACATTAGTCCAATATTATAAATTAGTTTTAGATAAAGATCACATTCCAACAAAAAAAGGATGTGCCCCATCCCCGAGGGCCCCAAACACATTTCAACACACATCCCTTGTGTGTTCAATACACATAATTCATCTCTTTTATAGTGTTGTTTTTATTGAAAATTTACAATGTGATCCATGGAGAAAACTTCATATTTAAATCCCTGCTTTCACCTGACACCTTTGTTGTGTTCATATCACAGGGAGTATCGAGAACACGTGAAGGATTTGTGTTGCATATCAATGGATTTAAGCCGGATTGTTATTGTTGATAACAATCCATTTAGTTTCTTATTGCAACCCTTAAATGGGATTCCATGTATTCCCTTCTCTGCCGGGCAACCACACGATGAGCAGGTCTGTTCACTTCCTTGATTCTTCTTTACCACCCACCCCATCTTTATCTTTTTCCATAGGTTAAAATAAGTGTTTCACCCTGAAATTATAGCTATTATATTAGCTCCCTCCAAAATTTCTTTTTATGTTATATTATCACTATAATTACAATATTTTGTCATTACTCTTTCCGTTCACTTCAACAGACCCAGTAAAATTCCATAAAGAGAGGAGGGGTTGCCTCGTTTTCGTAAGAGATTGAACCTAAATACATCATACATTACAGAGACCCGAAATTACATGGCAAATTACACCGTAACTTACAATTTTTAATTTCTTCTACCATTTATCACTTATTTCTAGCACTCTGTTTTCAATGGATTTTGAAGAAGAGTAGCGTAAGAAAACTACCTCAATTACATTGATCAATAATGAGTTTAAAACTTTATCTTGATTTATAGCGACGAAAACATATTTTAAGCCTTTTTCCCAAAGTCATTTTCTCTGACTAATACTCCCTCCGTCCCAAAAAGATTTACATGTTTCATAAATTGTTTGTCCCATAAAGAACTACACTTTTTCCTAAAAAGGACATTTCTACCCTTAAACCTAATATTTACCCAACCCTCAAACCCCACCCACTATTATACTAGTATGTGTACTTCACTTGCTATAATATCTTGCTTTACACTATTCATGGAGTACTTTTACATTAGGGTAAGGGGTAATATGGGGAGGTCAATGGAAAAATATGCTTTCCTTATTTTGCTTAAAAGTCAAAATGTGTAACACTTAATGGGACGGAGGGAGTATGTTTCTAGCACTCTGTTTTCAATGGATTTTGAAGAAGAGTAGTGTATGAAAACTACCGCAATTACATTGATCAATAATGAGTTTAAAACTTTATCTTGATTTATAGCTGACAGAAACATATTTTAAGCCTTTTTCCCAAAGTCATTTTCTCTGTCTAATATGTTGCTTGTTGTCACACGTATTCCATCAGCTATTGAAAGTCTTGCTTCCACTTCTGAAGCATCTCTCTCACCAAAAGGATGTAAGGCCTGTGCTAAATGAAAGGTTCCATATGCCCGAATGGTTTCGAAAGCAAGGAATCCCGTGCTCTGCGTTGACAAAATAGGACTACCTTCATTCTCGGGGTAATAATAATTTATACCAAATGACATCTCAAAGAAAATGAGTTTTTGTATGGATCAATTCATGTCAATATTCTCAGAAATGTGAGATTTCACGATAATACTTCGAGATCACATAATTATCACCGGTGCTTCGAGATATTCAATAATTTTACTATAATATTCCAAGAGAATTTTTAGTTTACATGGATCCCTCAGTTTCTGGGACAAGAATCTTTAAAATCTTGGAGTATTATATAAATATTGAATTTTTGAGCTCAGTAGTGATAATTATGTAAGCTTGGAGTATTTTTTGTAGAAGAATCTCAAGTTTCTATGTGTATTCACATGAATATCCCCTTCCTTTTTGTATAGTTTGATCTTTTACTTTTGTGCACCGTGAAATCAAGAGTATTTCTTGGCTCACTAGAAAGGTTGTCCACTCGTCGCCCGTTGACCATACTTGGGAGAAATACTTCGTCATTCGAGATCATGTGGCACATGCTCTGGCATTTGTGACTCTATTTTTGTGCGACGAAAGCCAAAAAGGCGTGAGTTGCAAAAATGGTGTCACAAATAACGCGCATGGTAATAAATTTGTTATTGTAATTTGTGTCTTATGAGTTTAACATTGTACAAATGTGTTTATAGCTATTTATGGTTCTTGGATGTAAAACTAGTTTATTAATATTTGTATTAATCTCTCAACTAGTCCCCCCCCCCTCGATGAATTCGAGATCATGTGGCACATGCTCTGGCATTTGTGGCTCCATTTTTGTGCGTCGAAAGCCAAAAAGGCGTGAGTTGCAAAAATGGTCTCACAAATAACGCCCATGGTAATAACTTTGTTATTGTAATTTGTGTTTTATGAGTTTAACATTGTACAAATGTGTTTATAGGTATTTATGGTTCTTGTATGTAAAACTTCTTCTTTATTAATCTTTGGATTTTGCATTAATCTCTCAACAAGTTTCTTCTTTTTCATCCCCCCTCCACACACATACACACTTTGGTTCAAATAGAAAGTGCGCTTCCCATGAAAAATGAGAATTGGTATGCTTCGTTGGAGTTCCAATCTAATAGTTGAGATGAAATATTTGGAAAAATTTTGCTAGGCAGTGTGTGATGGGCGTCGGGATGGTTGAAGTGGCTACCACCTCGGCGCGTGACAGTGGCGAATCCAGAAAAGAATATGACTAGGGGTGCATTATTAATTTTTCACAAAATGATTATTTTAACACTATTTTTTTAAAAAAAGGTTAACTGGGGGTGACTGCTCCCATATTCCATTATGTAGATCCGCCCTTGGCGCGTGATGGGGAGGGAGCACTACTCCCTTCCATCGTGATTGTGATGTATGCGATCGTCATTACGTTTTATTTATCCTTTTTTTCTCTGTCCAGTTGTCCTCTTCTTCTTGTTCATCCACCCATCAGCTTTCTTCTTCCACCTATCTTTTTTATTGCACCATGTCATTGTAGTTTTAATTTTAATGTTAATGACTTATTTATTTATTTTTTTTATTTTAAGTAAATTTGATTTAAATAAATGAAATATAAAGAAAGAAAAGCATCGGGCTTGATCCACACTTCTATCCAGTGATATGGATTGTGGTGAGAACAAAAAAAACTGATGGAGCAATGAGTGGCAAGGTGTGATGACACACTGCACTTACCAATCTTATACTCGTAAAATTTTGTAGTGCAATAGTTGTAAATAAATGGAACTTAGTTCAAAATAGCAAAAAGTACTTCAATCTCTTGTATAGGTAAGCCGTTGTAATCACCCCATGGGCTATCAAATTATAAAAATTGATAGTGCATAACTCTCTTAGACCTATCATAAGTGCCTACCCTTACCAGTTTTCTTTCAATCTCCCTAGCCTCTCCAATTACACTCACAATATTTGTTTGACTTTTTTGGTCAATGTGAACCGAACTTTGATGTTCAATTGGAGAGGGCAAGAGGCTAGGGGTGCAACGGTGGCGAGTATGAGTTTATAACAGGATTCGAAGAATAGGATCAATCCATTTTACATTTTGATGGTTAGAAATGATAGTTCTTACGGTGCTTAAATATAGTATTCCTGTTTTGATCCTTCCCTATTGTTTCAAAATCGTCTTATTTCAAACGATTTGCAAAATCTTCTCTTCAAAAGCTATAGCATTTTATCTACGAATTGATATGAAAATATGAAACACAAAATACATAATTTTATAATATGGCGACAATATTTAATTCTATCAAATAATCAACTAAAATACATAAATAAATGGAGTTAAAACTATCAAGAGGTCAAATAGTAATTGAGACGATAGTGTCTCTGTATGTGTGTTTAATAACAATTACTTTCTCCGTTCCGAAGTATTTGTCCACTTTTGACTTTTTTTAATCAAAATTGGTAAACTTTAACCCTAAATTAAATAACAGTAATATTAGATATATAAAATGTTTTCAAAATATTATTTTATCTAATTTAATATACAAAATACTCCGTATATTTTATTTAATTATAGGTCAAAGGTTGAAAATGGTTGACTGAAAAAATCAAAACTGGACAAATACTCTGAGACGGAGGTGATACTATTTTGCATATATGCATCGTGAAAAATTAAATAAATAAAAGTCGAAATACTGTATATAAATAGTGAAAAATTCAAGGAGTTGCAACAAAGAAAAAGAGAGTATGCCATATTGATTGACCAGTACACAAGCCAATTGCGTGATATAAAGACAATTAATTACAACAAAGGAAACGACTCTCACGCCGAATCGGCACAATGCCGAACGCTGCTTTAATCGGTTGTACATTACATTCTACTCCGTAAAAGAGTTGAATGCACACCCAATTAAAGCACGACCATCATTGTGTCGATTTGGCGTGGAAGCAAGCGATTGTTTACCTAGCTAGGAACCATATAGCAGAAGTGGGAATCGTTTGTTTTAGTATAGTGGTAGGTAATCAGTGGCAACGGCAGGATTGCGTTCTGGGGTGGGTGGGGGGCACTAGACAGAAAATCATTGAAAATACGGAGGGCACCTTGCTGGAATCCCTTCTGGGAGGCACATACCCTACAGCTGCCTCTGCCTCCGCCACTGTTTAATCTAGTCCCATTGAATGGGGCGATGGAAGGTCCAGTCGGAAGCATTAATGGTGGTTTTACCATCAGCAAGAACAAGATCATAATCTGAATCCTCTGAGAACTCAGTAGGCATGGATTTCCAGTGCAGGCTTGGAGTCCACTCTGCTTCTTTCAGAGCCTTGAGAATCTCTTCTGCCACTACTTTGCTGCCCTCTTCGGATAAGTGAACTCCATCCCTGGAAAAAAAGCAAGGCCTCGTTTGGAATCTGAAGAATATTCGATGCAGAAAACTTGGGGAAAATTGATTTGAACTCAATAAAATGATTTTAGATATTTGTTCGGACCGGACACAAAGATCTTCAGAAATTTGGATAAAATCACATTTAGAACCTGGGGACTAGTGAGGGATGGAAATGGAAATATACTGCAAGACCTCGTTTGGTAAAGGTAACATTTTGCCCGCTTTTTCTCTTTCCCATTTTGGAAAAGAAATA